TAAATAAGATACGGGTTTGTGATACCTACCTTCACTTTTATTATTAATTTTTTTTCTGGTTTTGTTTTTGCTTTGTTTTTTTCTTCATTTATTTCACATTAGGTTGGCATATTGGTACATACTCCCCTCCGTGTTTTCAAGCACACTAAACATATATTCGGAGATGTGCAGGTGATGAGGTAAACTGAAACAACAACACCAGGACTGATATATTATTGACACAATTACATGATTACTGAACGTGAATTGCTTTATCACAATATACACCCTTCGTACTTCCAAAAAGCTATATTCGCGCTTGGATCGCTGGCGTGAGACGCCACTCACGCCCTCTTCTTTGCGACAGCATCTTAGACTTATCTTCCTTTACTCTATCACACCTTGAATGGCTTGGTACCTACTCCACCACTGACTCCCTGAAGCTTCATCGTACAGGGCTGTGCTATCACTTCAGGCTAAGCATCGATTCAGTTTCCACGGCATGGCCATTGTGTTGCTATTTGAACTTTTGTACCACTGCTATCTGACGTCATCTTCTATGTTTCTATGACTTGATTCCCATCGAAACAGTGGTCGAATTGTACCTAATTATCTGCACATCGCAGGCTGGATTGATAGCAGTTACGTCCTTGACATTTCCAACATTTTATCGCAATGCTTGACGCTGCGTTACGTTTGATATACGACACACAAGCGTATGTATTTCTTCGTATGAGAGGGAAAATATTTCCTTTCAAATTCGGTTCGAAGTGACACATCAACGGTTAGATATATCTCCATTTGCCCTATTCCATTTCTAAACATGGGGTGGTGGGGTAGCCTTGTGGTAAAAGCGTTTGTTCGTCACGCCGAAGACCGGGTTCGATTTCCCACATAGGTACAATGTGTGAAGTCCATTTCAGGTGCTCCGCCGTGATATTGCTGGAATATTGCTAAAAGTGGCGTAAAACCATAATCACTGACTCACTCACTCATTTCCAAATGTACAACCAGACACGAGTGTTGGAGAAACCCAAATGGAAATGGCCGCGAGTCGCTAAAAGACGGAATCTTGTATAATGCCCGTGATACACATCCAGCAACTAACCACAATTCCTAACCACGAATAATAATCTAGTCATATTTCATATAATTATTTCTTTTCTTCATCAGAGGTTGTGTGGTGAAATATCAAGCTTCTTGCATAAAACAATATCCCTTTTAGGATAATATCCTTCCATGCCATGAAAACCAGCCACTGACATGTCTGTCAGAGTGTCTGTGAAACACCGACGTATCTACAGAGGGCCAAGCCTGACTACCAAATGATTTTCAATTGTCTCCGATTTCTGTGGTATGTTTGTTAATCTCTCAGAATCCCGCGACACAACGTGACCCTCGCCCACTTTGGTGGCTGCGTATTGATTCCTGCTACTCAAAAGAGAAGCAATGGTGCTTGCCTTGTCGCACATAGAGTACCAAGTCGCATAGTCACATGCTGTGCAAATACACTGTATGACGGCGGTAATGTAAAACACTCACTGCTGACACACTAGCCACTGGATGACTCTTATAGTATTGTTCTGAGTCATGAAAACATGTCCTGTTTCGATTCAAGCGAGAACGGTAATTTGGAATTCAGGCGCTTGCAGTTAATTAATTTAGTTATTGCAGCGAGAAGTTCACGAAAGAATGAGATGACATGGAGTGTATACTCCCAGGGAGATGATAATTCACAATGATCTGTTGATCCGGATATTATTATTGTAATTGTTATTATTATATACACATTAAAATAAGAAATGTATCAAAGAGGGTTTGGGTGATCCTTGCACAATCAGGCTGGTTAGGCTCATCAGCTCAGGGCCCTTGCCCCTCTACACGCAGCCCAGACAGCGAATAGGACTTCTCCTAGGAAGTGTTGCCTAGTCGAATCCACCCAGAATCTTTCGGAGAATGTGAGGACTCCCCAACACTGCAGCCCAGATTGTCAGAAGGGCTGTATTCCTGACAGTAAACCCAGTACTCTCCCGGTGTCAGTCAGCAGATTGGGAGGTACCAAACCTAAGGCACCGAGAACAACGGGAGTCGGACAACCGAAAACTTGGGATGCACGCGTGACATTTCGAGAGCGAGGTCAGCATATTTGCCATGTTTTTCCTGATTCATGTCAATCATATTAGTGTCAAAGGGGACAGAAACGTCAATCATATTAATGATTTCATTGGATTTATGAAAAAGGACAAGATCAGGTTTGTTTGCCTGGATAGGCCTGAGGCTGTGTACGGGCCAATTCCAAAGAATTTTGTATTTATCATTTTCCATGACGCCTTCCACATATGCTGTGTCGTAACATGGATGGACCTGTGTCAAAACCACAAACATGGCGAAGACGGTAATACAAGGATCGAACCGCTTCATCATGTCGCTTAAGATAGTTATTACTGTGTCTGTGCCAAAGCTGGGTATCCACTCACAATGTGTCGGACAGTCTCTTTAAATTCATTACATAATCTACATTTCATATTCACATTTTGATGCAAAATCACACATTGACGGTTTCGAGTTGGAAGTGACTGGTCATGAGCAGCAAACAGAAAACCTTCTTTTTCACTTTTCAGGCCAGACGACTTCATCTAAATGAAGGACTCTGCAGGATTGCTGATCTTCCCAACACACAGCACATAAACTCGATGCAGTGGTCGTTCAGAATGCCTCTCCTTGAAAAACTGAGTCTGGGCCGACTTGACATGGCACTTCGCGTGGTTGACACTCATTTCGGTACCGTCCAGTATTACAGAACCATCATCAACAAAATCAACACCGACATTGAGATTATGTCCCACATCCTTGGCTCGTTTTAGAAAACTGTGGAATGCCTTGTTTTCATCATGAATCTTGACATGCTTCACAAGAGGATCATCAGACAAATGAATGTGTACAGAAGTGTACAAAACAATTCCATCATGAAGAGCCTCCACATTAATCAAACCACGCCCTCCCATCATTAAATATAAGCGATTGAGGGAAGAGCGCGGATGTTGGGATCTATTGTCTGGCATGATTCTTCGTATGAGGGTGTCAATACCCTGAATTTCTTGTTTCGTCCAATCAACAACACCAAAAGAATACGAAAGGACGGGCACAGCATAAGTATTTGTGGCTTTGACTTTATTGCGAGCGTTCAGCTCTGAACTCCAGATTTTCTTTAGCCTACATTTGTACTCTGCCCGAAGTTTGCCCTTGATATGGGCATTCTGGAGTTTGTCCCTAATCTGCATCCCTAAATACGTATAGGCCTGACCATCCACAAGATGGTCAATAACTCCTCCTCAAAGTAAACTGACTGATCCTCCCTCTTCTGCATTGCCACGTTTCAAATGGGATGATGATGATGATGATGATGATTATTATTATCATTATTATTATTATCATTATTATTATTATTGTGTAAACAAGCAATAAATATATGTTAAGGTAGTTGCCGTCTTTGGCCTATTACGGGTATGAATCCACATCAGGGAGTCCATACAGATCTGTCTGTGTAGTCTCCCTGTCCACGTGAAGAACATGTTTATTAGATTCAGACTCTGAAGATAGCACATTGCACACAGGTTGCCTCGTGTCCTAAAACAATTCCCGCACTACGTTTCATGTTATTGTATCCTCTCAAGCAGACAGTTTGAAATTTGGTTCACATGTACATAGTTATGTGCAATTCTTCGGTAAGTTAACTAAACAACATGGTAAAGCGGCAGTGAGCTTATAGCCGATTCACATAACATCCCCTGCATTAAGAAAATAATGTTGAACTTCAAATCTTCGTTTTATTCATTTCAATCAATAACAGACGCACCTAGCTTAGATTATCCCGTGGTTGAAACCCTTGACCACGATTGAAAATAATAAATACTTCAGCGCTGGCTTCGTTGCAAAGCCACTCTAAACATACACCTCTCGGAGACGAAAGTTAGACACAAGTCATACAACCCGCATACATCACATCACCATCAAGGCTGTCCAGTTGCCCACAGTCGCGCCAAGAACAGTCAGGAAACGCCAATAGCCGGACATGTGTCGTGTTCATTCGCTCAGCCCAATGTTTGTATTCTTGTAGGGAACCCTCGTATTGTTTCTCAAAGCCAGGACTCAACACACTAAAAGAGATGCGTGTCTACCGATGGCGGTTGTGCATTGTGACGTATTGAAGTTCACAAATGTATATATTATACTCTTTCCTATTTGTTATTGAACACTGCGTCCCCAGAGAGATGCGCCCAATGCTGTCATGAACTATGTAAAATGTATGACTCACTTTGATGTGACTGCTCATCTACTTAGCAGATTTAAACACATTATCATGCAAGTAGCTTTACTACAAAATGGCCAGATTGAAAAAGCAGATTCTCCATTTTTCTGGCATTGTATATAATGAATGTGTTCGTGAAGCAGTGAAATGTTATGACTGTGTGTTCAACAGCGTACACGTGCAGGTTGACCTGCACTCCAACTTGCCGCTCCTGCCGGCACTGTACAATATCACTTATATTTCCAACAGAGTGTGTGTGCTATTTGCGCTGCTTACTCACATTCCCGATACCATAGGTAGTCTAAGCTAAGAATATTTCAAAAGGACTGGCTTTATATGAATATTTAGAATTGATTGTGTGCATGCGAAACAGTTCAACATTCATCTTTCTCAGAGCATCAAGCCTAACAAATCGCTGAGTGCAAAGCGAAAACAAATGTTTTCGTAAAATAAAAAAAAATGTATTAAAAGCTCTCTTGTTAAATGTAAGAATGTTGGCATCTGGAAGTCTACATAGATGAAACACATCTTGGAGGTTGTCGTGTAAATAATTGCATGGAGAGGCTTTTTGTAGCTCTCAGTAACACCACCTGTGGTCTGTCGATGATTGATGGCGACGAGAGGAGGTGAATCAATGTGTGCAACACACACGATATGACATTAGTAGAAATCTATACAGCACTTTTTTATGCTGATATATTTCCTTTTCTAGATGTGGCGTTTGCAGTTGGAGGCGATACAGACATCAAGTACCTGGTGCTGCAAGTCCATTACAAGAACGTCACCACCTTCCTCCCCCCACGTACGTTGACTTACTGTCAGTCGATGCTATTTCACATGTTCATGTCTCCTTTTATGCCATGCCTCAAAGTGAGATTGACCAATCAGAGGACAGAACTACTAACCCCATATGAGCCCGTATACCGTCAGTAAAATACAAGATGGTTGTTACTGACCTAATATGAGACCATATACCGTCAGTAACAGCTATCTTAGATTTTCCAACACCCACCTCACATATTACACATGGACATTCTGGTACAGAAATTCTTTATAAAATCATTAATTGTGATGTGCAAGGGCATTATTTTTTTCAAAAATCACATTCGTGACTATATTAATATAAATTATAGTTAAAAAATTTCAACAACGTTTGGCCTCCACGATTTGGACAGTAGTCTCCCTTTGACTCTTAACGTCAACGGTTGTGGGGGACCATTTCTTAATTTTGACATGACATGTGCGATTAAGATCGTGACAAGTTATCGGCATAATAAATTTGTTATGGCTGACGCCTCGCGCAATATTACTCTGCTAACCTGATATGACACCGCATACGGCAACTAAAGACACCAGAACTAATAATATGCTTGCTAAAATATTTATAGTAAACAGCCAGAAGTTCATTCCTGTTGTACTGTTCGATGCTAGTCATAGGTGTCATCCTTGATGGTAAGCAGTCGTTACGTAATCTTGCTCTCTTGGACTGTTTCAGAGAATGGCAACGACACATCTGGTTTGAATCTCATAACACAGAAAACCAAGTATGTATACACACTAATCATCATCATCATCATCATTAATTCACCGTGAAGATCTGGATTAGAATTAGTCTTCAGCAACCCTTGCTTGTAACAGGCGACAAACGGGATCGGGTGGTCAGACTCGCTGACTTGGTTGATGCATGTCATGGTTGATGAATTGCGTAGATAGATAGTCATGATTTTAATCACTGAAATGTCTGGTCCAGACTCGATTATTTACAGACCCCCGTCATATAGCTGGGATATTGCTGAGTACGACGTTAAACAACAAACAAACAAGTCATCATTAATTGATTTCTATGTCAGATTCCTCCAATGTACATGCAAATCCTGTGCTGCAGGTTACCAAGGCGTGCTGGGGTCTACTTGATGGGCACTGGGGGCAGGATCAAGCCCAAGTCTACAGGTAACATAGTTCTGCGACGCATTCATTTTACAGCAAACTCATTTTTCTATAAACAACGAGACTACATAACGGCAGGAACACTGTACTCCTTCATCGCAGCCACAAACGTCAGTATGCTATAGAACTACTAGGAAATGTCCTTACATGCTTTTAGAATGCAGGGCTTACAATATACCAAGTGATCTGAATATTGGAGTGTGCTGGACAACGGCTAATTTAGACATACCTGAGCTTGTACTGTTGACAGTAAACCTCGTTTCTATAATTTAAGCGCCTAAGCCTTTCCATAATCATATGAATGAGTCCATTGAACAATTCCGATTACATCATAGGAATTTGTTTTCGAATTGCTGTCAAATAGCGATATTACCAGGTGTTCGCGAACAGGTCAGCGTATCCTGCCCATCGGTGGCACCCGTCAGAAATACATGCAAAGACAAGTCAATCGCTCACCTGTAAAAAAACGGGAACATATGGTACAAGTCAAAATGTGGAATCAATTTTTCCACTGATGCGTCAAATCTTGAAATGTCCTCCGCATGCCTAGCATAAAACGTTTTAAAAGCGTTATGGAGGCCCAGAATATTGTAACTCTGAGCAAAAAGCTTGATAATAAGTCGTATGACGCTTTTTGAAATCTTGTGGAAAGAGCATGCTCGAATGTATATCAAAAGTTGTGAAATGTAGATACCAAAGGCTGGAGCTGCTGGCATATAGCTCGACATGAAGTACATAAGTTGACTATTGGAAAGCTGAAGTCACCCCTCCCGTCATACTGTCTTGTGGAGAGATTATTGTCAGACTGAACCTTCATGTATTAGGCCGTTATTGAATGATATCAGATAATCGATATACCTGAATCTTATCAATTATACGTTCAACTTCTTAACCTAATCCATTTGTTTGATGTTGCCAACCCGAGCAGAAGTTCCGATGTATTGGTGCCAATGGGGATACCTACTTGTTTTATCCAAAGATTTTACATAAATGAGCAAGTCCAGCATACTGTTTTCTCCTGTAAACTTCAGACCCCCTGAAGATAGATATATAACTGTATCTATGGTCACGAGGTTTTGTAACAAATGCCCCATGGATCATGGAATGATCGTTTCATGTTTCTTTATGTAAAATAAGTCTTAAGCGTCTGCTATACAAATTTCTAAACTATTTCAGCTAGTAAATTCAATAGACATAACGCGCACGTACTAATATTTCGAAAGTTCAAATCACAAAATGATTCATGAACATATCTGAATGTCAGTGCCTGTGTGCGTGCGTGCGTGCGTGCGTGCGTGCGCGCGCGCGCGCGCGTGTGTGTGTGTGTGTGTGTGTGTGTGTGTGTGTGTGTGTGTGTGGAGGGGTGCGCGAAGGGGTCACATCCTCGTGATCTGATCTGATTGCAACATTTGAATCTTTATGTAAAGCGTATGTCAGATGATGTTATATTGCACTAGTATTTGTGAATGAATAAAGAGGCGACACGGGCAAGGAAAACACCACGCTATGTTAAAGTAATGGTAATCTAGGCATATGGCTTCATCATCTGTATACACGACTTTGGAACCTCACGCTTGGTATCCCTTACCGTTGACGTCTTTGTTTTACAGTGTTCATGGAGACTGCATGCAAGTTCGAGAGCAATCTCGAAATCCACCCCTTCGCCTTCAGGACCCATACTCATACGCTTGGTAGGACAAACCTCCGTATTTCAGTGCATCATTTGAACTCTCGTTCTTTCTTGATCGTGTACAGGATATTCACATTCAACGTTTCAGTTTTATTTGTCTTGTAATTACCGAGTTGACGCCACGTGCTGTTGGGAGAGTACGTAGACTAATCCAAGTAATCTAGTTTTCCTGAAGTAGAATGTATAATCCACACCGCCGTGTGTAATCCATCAGACTTATCTCACCTAGGGAGACACACCTAAGATTAAAACAAGTATTACATTTACAGAAGACAGCACGTCAACCGTCTGTATCGCGACACTAACACATTGATATTTATGCATAGATCTGTAACCGTATATCGCAATGTTCGTTTGAATGGCCTGGATTCTGTTTAACTGAAAGTTTTGTACAATGGTTTTGTTTTAATGAAGACCATTCTAATTTCTGTCTAAAACATGTGTTCCAGGACGGGTAGTGTCCGGTTACAGAATCCGCGACGGCAAGTGGACTGAAATTGGCAGAATGAATCCCCAAAAACCACAGGTTCGCGTTTCAAAGATCTCAGCCGTTTAATGATATTTATTTGTTTTTAAACTGTACACAAACAATATGTTATTTCATCTATACAATCAACAAATACAGGACCACAGTTTACCGTTTTGTGGTCGATGAGTGGTTGAAACATTGGCAAGTCGTATTTTGGATTATTATAAATCACATGTAGGTTAAATATACCTTTGTCGAGCAAAAAGACAATGACACAAGATGCCAGTAAACTTGAAAGTTGCGTTCACCCATGTGTAACGTTTGAACCTAAAAAGGACGTATGTCGTGTGTCGTGCGCAGACTTATTAAATGTCATAAATCTTCGTTCATTATGGGTATTTTCCAGATGTTTTACAACGTAACCACGCCCAACCTGACCGTCAAGCCGGGCGATATTCTTGTAAGTTCTTATTCTACTCCAATAGAATGACATTTAAGTCAATATTACCTTTAGTTATGTAACAGTTTTATTTGTGTTAAGAGTTAATTGATATACCAAGCTTAAGTCAGTAAGTTTCTGGATGTAATCCTCATTGTCTGTCTTCAGGCTGCCAGATGTACAATGTTGAATGACCGGGACACCACTGTGAAAATAGGGTAAGTTTCTCACAAACGAATTTTCTGTTTGATCCGATAAGATATAACGACACTAGCATGTAACTAGAATACGCCTCCGTTGTGGAACTCGAAAATGAGCTATTCCAATCCCTAGTGTAATTCAGACTTGACTTGACGTCGAAGATATTAACAGTTATTTCACGTCAGGTTCAATCTTGTGAACGTATATGAAGCGATTGATGTATGGTCGTGGTCCGATGAAGTAGTAAAGGATGTGTATAGTTCGCCGGCCTCAGTGTTCACGGAGGCTGTTGACGAGGACTGAGCTCGCGCATGGCGGTATCTGGAAGCTGACCCACAGTTTTGATGGGATTACTAGAAGACGAACTTAGAAAGGGTAAATCCTGACTGATTTCATGTCTTGTGTGACATTGTGGTGTCTGTTTTCGTCGTCACGTCTGTGGTCGAGATGCTTGGCATTTCATTTCCTGGATTTTCTTGTTTTTTCATATTGTTTCGCCGTATTTCACTTTCTCTGCTTCCTGTCCATGTCGTCATACCCTCTTGTCGAATACAAGTACATCTTTCTTCCTTTTCTGTATTCTGTGGTGTATGCGTTCAGTGTATCGCTTGCTTATTATAATTTATTTTCCTACCTACCTGCCACTAGCCCTCTGCTGTTCCATGTGATGTATGTTTCTTTCTGACCCCAGTCTAACACAGCAGCTTAATACAATGAAAGTTGAAGTTGTAGTAGTAGCAGCAGCAGCAGTAGTAGTAGTAGTAGCAGCAGTAGTAGTAGTAGCAGCAGTAGTAGTAGTAGCAGTAGTAGTAGTAGCAGTAGTAGCCAGTGTAGTAGTAACATAACGTTTCTTTTAAGTATGTTCTTTAAAGACAAATATATCCTTAGTTTTCTGACAACAAAATTGAAGTAATCACAAACTACCAGTGGAAAACAAATACAAATATAATCAAATAGTACGATATTAGCACATCTTATACCATTTGCACGTACATTTAAGATGAACCTTTGATCACTACCTTTTTACATGTATCCATATATTAACATATTATCCTACGTTTTCCAGGAACACACAGAATGATGAGATGTGTAACTTCTATATCATGTACTACATCAACACTACCAAACTTGTCCAAGACAGCGTGTGTTCCAGCCGTGGAGCCCCTTCCTGGTCCTGGGCTGACTTCCGGGACGGGGACATGAACCTGGAGGCCATGCCCAACACCGTCAGCGTCATTCCAGGAACTACAACTGCTTTGAATGAAACAGTTGACACCAGATCAGTGCACCCTGTTGGCATGGTGTGGAGTTCCTACTTTGAACAGCTTGTAGAGGATAATATCATAACTAAAGAGCTTAGTGAATACTACCTTGACCTTACCTTGTCGGTAAACCCTTAGGGAGGAGCAAGGTCATATTTGAAACGGAAACATTATATCGTTTTGGCCTATTGTCTTAAAATATTCAAAGAAAGCAATTTTTTTTATAAGTAGACCATTTTTAATGAAGACAAGCAGGTTTATTTTAACTCGCATATCTATATCAATTAATGCAAAATACTTTAAGTGACGTCGGGTTTTATGGCCCTGAATATCTCCAGGCTCCACACACTGATATTGTAAATAATGAGAGCGCAGTGCAGGCGTCACCCGCCGCGTTGACCCTGTTCATAAAGACTAGTTCCCGAATGACTGTGCGCGAACCCATTATTATATGTAGAAACATGGTTAGTTTCCCGATTTGTTCAGATCAATGGCTTTAGACAATTTGCTGGTAAGGCTCTTTGTTCAACTGTCGATATCTTCGCGCAGTGTGGGTGACAAATATTGAAATGCATTTTACTTTCAAATTAAGCATCACTTCAGATTATTTATAATGATATAATTTCAAATTGACGCACGTTCAATGCTCCTTTACAGATTATAATGTCTTGTGAACTGGATAGATGTGCAGGTGCACAGACATTGTAAAAAGACGTCTTAGTAAATAAACTTTTTTGAAATTGCTGATTGTCTGAAGTTTTCTTTTGCTTCATGTTTGTAATTATATGTTGAATTAAATTTGTCATTGTGCAAGCAGGCGTGTCATATTGTATATGGGCGTTCTATTTTGAAAGGAACAATTCTGGTTTCTTTTCTATAGCCTGTTTGCTGTTAAGAGAGTTCGTACTTAAGAACATCACACCTACACGTGTTTCATGAATGCAGGATGCGAAGCTTTTGAATATGAATCATTCGGTGATATTGTTGTGATTCGAACAAAGAATAATGGATTCTACGGTAATATTCTATATAAGGCATATATAGGGCGTGAACTATTCTGTACTAAGCAGCCCGTCTTTGACTATGTGTGATTGCAGAGCCACCCAGAACGATGAAATGTGCAACTTCTACATCATGTACTACGTGGACGGGAAGACGATCATGGACGACAACTACTGTTTTACTTCTGGTCCACCAAACTGGTCATGGGAAAAGTTCGGGCAAGGTGACCTTGCGCTTGAGGACATGCCGAACACCGTTAGCTGGCCCCCAGGGTCCTCGGAACCGCTAGAAGAAGGCAAGGATGACGTGGCGAGAGATGATGAATCTCTGGAGTCCATCTTGGATAATCTCCAGCCCCGTGAGTTGGAGGAGTTGTACGAAGAGCTGGCGGAGGAGGGGAAAGACAAGGATCAGAACGGCTATTATTATGGGGGCTATTAGAGAGACGTTGGGGATTGCCCACATGGGAAAGGGGAGATAATCGGGAATACAATTGTATTACCTCCCTTTACATAAGTTTGTATCTGTAAAAACATACATGGAAAATATACAATGGGGTAAGCAATTTCAACATTTTAAAGAAATTTGAGGCAATGCACATATGGAGAGGGAGGTATTGTATTGTGTTTTGTCAGTGACAGACTGTGGTATCAATATAAGGTTACACTTGAAGGGCAATGGGTTTCTTGTGGTAGAGCATATGAAGTAGTCCAATCAGTTGTTATTGTGTACATCGTAGATAAATAGATATATACACTTCTATGACCTTGCTGGTATGTCGTTATATACACACCGATATCTGGTTATCTTTCAATCTGTGTTTCTCCGAATGGTAGATGTTCTATATTTTACCAAATATCTGGACAGCCAACACATTTTCCTCACAAATGAAATGAAGAATGTCTTCTCTCATGATAACCCTCCAAGAATGGCTTAGTGAGTCCTTTAGATTTTCTCAAAAGCTGCCTTAGTTTCACGACCGACAAAATGATGTCTACTTAATTACTAATTTATTTCGATGTTTCTGTTTCTTCTATGGTATAGTTGCATGATTTTCTGAAGCAACTTGCGGCTCCTATCCACCTATGTACTTGTGGTAGTTTAGTAATGCGAGTTGTTGTTTCTGACGCACACCTGTGCTGTTCTTGTAGGTATCTAGTTGACACATCAGTGTACATTCTCCAGTGATACATTCAGAAATAATCAAATTGAGATGAACTGTTCGGCCACTGTCCCCGTTGTACCTCTACAGAAGTCATCAGCAATTTGTAAATATGTTGTTATCGCTTGATATTCTGACACCTCGGAAATAGTGTGTTTTGTTGTCACACAATCTATATTGCTCAATATGTGCCATTCGTAGGTTTCTGAGTTGTGTGAAGTCCTGTATAGTTGTGTCATGGTGCTGTAGATATATATCAAATCACGATTATTTACTTAATTCAAAGAAATGCACAGAGAAATATATTTATTTTGGAAAAAAACGACGGGTTTGTCAATATGAATGTACAGCATTGATTTAATGATTATTGTTATTCCAAGGTTAAATAACACAGTAAAACCTCGTTGATCTGGATACCGTTAAACCAGCTTTCCAGACCATTACTGTGTGGAACGTCTACATGCCGTTAAAGGGACATTCCCCCTTACCAGTACGTTAATCCGGACGATTGCATTGGATCCGCTCCGATTAACGAGGTTTTATTATTCATTGCAAAACTTAATAGGTGTGTTCTGAATGTTGCATTTCACATGTTTCGCATTTCGTCATCAATAAATATACTTAACGAATAGATGTTTTTGGCGAGTGAAAATACTAATTTTGAGAAAGAAGCTACATCAGTTTTGAAATGCAATAGTCAGAGAAAATATAATTCATAATTTTCGAATAAATAATTTCGGCCATTGAATATGCGTTGTGTTTGAACTGTTCTGAGATTTCCTCTAAGGCAACATGCTTGCCTCAGGTAATGACATCAAACAGAAAGTGACATGGAACAAGTCGCCATATTGTTTCAATGCCGGGAGTTATGAATCTTCCCGAGGCAAGAGAGTTAACTGACTTCTAAAGTCCAGTTTCCACCCTTGCCGAACTAGGCTGGAATTCCTGGGCTCGATCGTAGCGCCACCAGTGGCTATTACGAGTTATGTCCTTTCTATGCCTCTCCTATTGACCAATCAGATTCAACCTCTCGTATCACTTGCATTTGCTTCAATCAAAACGGTGGCGCCCAGTCAAGACGGTCTGATCGATAATGAAGATCTATTGTGATAAAACGAGTCTTACAACGCGAAGTGCATCAAATCACGTGAGCACCTTGATTAAAAACATGAAAAGATTTAGAAAATATCTATTGACAACGATTTAGCGGTGCACATGCTTTGCAAATCCTGCAGTCGACCGAAATCTGCACGACACTTTACGAACCGGATTTCGATTTCGGTGCGCGATTTTGATTGGACTATGCATAGACTCGTTAGTCCAGCCAAAATGTAACTCCATAATACCAGCCTAGTTCTGCAAGGGTGGAAACTGGACTTTTATAGTCAGTTAACTCACTTGCCTCGGGAAGATGGGAGTTATGATCCGAATCAAAGAAGTGATTACAGGCAGCTTTACGCCCATGACGGCACTATTCCAGTTCTATGAAGGCGGCCCGGAAATACTCGAGTCTGGGGCCCCAATTCAGTGGTTGAAATTATGAGCAACGCTCACGCCGTGGAGTTAGTGAGTAAGTTGGGTTTAACGCCGCTTTTAACAGTATTGTAGTTATATCACGGCGTGTCAGCTTAATGTGAGAGGAAAGCCCGAAGTGCAGGTCTCAGGCGTTTACCACCATAATCGGGGCGAACCGGGATTCGAACCCCCAATCATAGGTTTCTGGCGTGCCCAAGGGGCGCAACTCTGCACAGCGAATCGCGGCGCCTCAGACGACTGGGGCACCCGTGCCCCCCGCCGTCGAGTTAAGACCACACGTAATCCATCAAATTACCAAGCCCGACCCCCCGATCCTATTTAGCCGCCTCGCCACTGACGGGTGACTTGTGACATCACGATGCAAGGGTTAGTTGATTTTAACAGATTCACACACACGCGCACACACACACGTAGTCATTATAAAGCCTATCCAGTCAATTCAATCGCCAAAGTTGATGGCGATGAAGTCATACCTTCAACCAAGACGTGATAGAAACCCCTCCTAATTGTCTTTTCCTGTTGTCATGGCTATGTGGAATAGTCACATCATGCCGACAGCGGGGGCTTTTAGCCATTCACTCAAATGCCGACCCGACCGTCGTATAAAGTGACATCATTCGGCTTTTCACCCTTGAATGCACTCAGAAGACAAGGAAACAGGTGGCCCATTCGTCCGGGGGAAAATGAGCTGTTAAGAGTTGGCCCCCTTAGGCTTGTCAGAAACCTATGATAGTGGCATAAATTTCCAGATACGCCCTGATTATCTTCCTTGGTGTGTCAGAAAAGTACCGATAATATTCATATTAACAAACAGCCATAAACACGTGTTTTCAAATTCGCAAGTGTTCTTTGTTATTTGTTTCCAAGAGCGTATGGTTTTGCCCGCGGATGGTAGCTCAGGGTGATGGCGGAAGACACTCAGGGGTGAAGTATAAGAAGACAGCAGCCATGTTTATTGTTGCAGGCTGAAATGGTACAGGTTGATAATAACGTGACAGAACGCACACTGGGACCTAGTGGCCAATGTTCCCGGGTGGAGACTCGCTCTGTCACAGCAAAAAGTTGGGCGGCGATTTTTTTTTTGTCGACGGCCTTGGCAGACGCGACGGCTAGCCGTACAATCCGTCCGCCTTTGTCGATGACCTGGGACCGTCTCCTGGTTGACCATGTCAGTCTGGCTTTGTAGATAAAGGAACAAGTAACGTAGCGCAAACGAGGTTAGTGACTCACGTGTATGTACATACGTAACGTCCGGCGACGTGAGGAGGTGTTAATTGACATTTGTAGACAGCGTCGGGGGTTGACGGTCCTGCCCGAAGGGGGCATATGATTAGAGGGGATTCGCCGAATGTTTGCTGTATACAAAGGGCACAGAATTTCGGTGCACTTTGGAAGCATATTAAAACAATTAGATATTTCAGATAAATGAAGTTTAGAATAAAAGTATTAAACTCTTTTGCTCTATAACATTTGCATTAGATGATGTTCCGATTGCTGGGGTACTTGTCCGCTTCTCACCGTCCTTTATCATAGCAACGTATTATTCCCCTATTTAGAAATTGCGCACATATTTGGAAGGGCTAAATTCTAAATTGGGATTGGATCTACTTTTTTTATATCAGCCAAATTTGACTGATCTATCAATTCCTGTAAATTGACAACGCATTTAACGCATATGTACTTCTGCATGCACTGTGATAAATATGTCGACACTGGTTCAGTTTAAGTGTACTTGAACTCCTGTGATCGAGAATTACTGGCCATGAATACGAGGGTTTTTTTTTTTTTCTTTTTGGTAACTGCTGATGCGTGCGTATCTATGTACACTTGGAGGTAAAAAGATCGATAATGCAAAATCAAAATCCTCAAAGTCACAAATCTTTTTCACATGGAGAGAAAACCTATAATTTTATGTATACTGATATAAGGCAAATAATAGATTATTCTTTTGAGAAAACACAGTGTTCATAGGTTTACCAAAGTTTATGTACCATCATGATGTAATTCACACACCAACCATCCATTGGTCATTCTAAATCGGGTGAATAAATGCTACAGCCATGTGACATGTCCCTCCATCACGTCTCCGGAGTCTCGGCCAAGTTAGCACCTGGGTTCGCGGTTTCGTTTAGGCGTTTGATAACGTACACGCAGAACGTCTACGAGAGCATGCTTCTTCCAGGACACAACGGCATCTTAGCCCCTGAATCACCTAGTTGTTATCATGCGAATGTTCCGCGTGGATGCAGTGATTCTTTGTATGAGTGCATTGTTAGGTCGCTGTATTTTCACCTTCTTTAAAACTCGGTATTCACACAGAGACAATTATGAATAGATCACTGTCGATATGTTTTTCAAAAGAGAAAGCGAAGACCTGTTTATTTCCAAAAATGGTACTAGGAGTTAGGTCTGCTTTCGCCTGCAGTACAGTTCGCCTACTACCACTTTGCCTACAGTGCAGTTCGCCTACTGTCACTTTGCCTACAGTACAGTTCGCCTACTGTCACTTTGCCTACAGTGGAGTTCTCCTACAGCCACTTTGCCTACAGTGCAGTTTGCCTACTGTTACCCTGCCTACAGTGCAGCTCGCCTACTGTCACCTGGACGACAGTGCAGTTCGCCTACTGTCACCTTGACGACAGTGCAGTTCGCCTACTGACACCTTGACGACAGCCAATATGCCTACGGTGCAGTTCGCCTACAGTCACTTTGCCTCCAGTGCAGTTCGCCTACAATGCCGTTCGCCTACTGAAATGATGATATGGTGTGGTGTTTCGCCTACTAATTACCCCTTTGTTGGTAATGGATCAGTCTCAACACCAGCCTGTGTACAGGTGGCAGCGACACAGTGCTGGTGGTATGTACTGTGATCGAACCGGAAGAATGGATATTTTCTTATTTAACATCAAGTAGAGGATAAGTAAGATAACGTTCTTGATAAGATAATGATTGATACATGCAACTGATCTAAAACACATGTACACCTGGAATTAATTAAGCACTTGGTCAAATCAGGTGTCATGTGACAAGAGGAGGGTTTCACTGTTATGTCACGTAAACAAGTCGGACATGCTATGCAAGGATATGATAGTTGGTATGTCTATCCGCATATTTGTCTATATGCGGAGATATTGTTGCTGATTTGGAGTAACACTGAAACTGTAACATCTGCATATGCGAGGGCTGGTGAAAAAGTTCTAAGTCTAACAAACAAAATGAACAATTGTGAAAGTGTTTTTAATTTTATTTTTCTACATAATCTCCCTGCTTTTCAATATATACTGAGTCAAATTAAAAACTTCACATTTTAAAAAGTTATCCCATATATGATATACAACGGACAGATGTATCAGAGAAGGTAATTTGTAATCATTAATGTCCAAAGAAGGATTTTAATTAACGGTGGTAACCATAATTTGTTCCAAGCACCTACGGTTTTCGGTAATAGCATCAACAGTTTAAATCATAAGTCCCAAGCACGAGAATCTAATGGCACACAAGTTCAGTAGCGTGTACATCTTCCCGAGGCAAGTGAGTTAACTGACTATAAAAGTCCAGTTTCCACCCTTGCAGAACTAGGCTGGTATTATGGAGTTACATTTTGGCTGGACTAACGAGTCTATGCATAGTCCAATCAAAATCGCGCACCGAAATCGAAATCCGGTTCGTAAAGTGTCGTGCAGATTTCGGTCGACTGCAGGATTTGCAAAGCATGTGCACCGCTAACTCGTTGTCAACAGATATTTTCTAATCTTTTCATGTTTTTAATCAAGGTGCTCACGTGATTTGATGCACTTCGCGTTGTAAGACTCGTTTTATCACAATATAGATCTTCATTATCGATCAGACCGTCTTGACTGGGCGCCACCGTTTTGATTGAAGCAAATGCAAGTGATACGAGAGGTTGAATCTGATTGGTCAATAGGAGAGGCATAGAAAGGACATAACTCGTAATAGCCACTGGTGGCGCTACGATCGAGCCTAGGAATTCCAGCCTAGTTCGGCAAGGGTGGAAACTGGACTTTTAAAGTCAGTTAACTCTCTTGCCTCGGGAAGATGTAGCGTGTATGGCCACCAGGTGCGTTGACAACTGCCACACAACGCCTCCGCATGGACCATGTGATGCTTGTGAACATATGATTGGGAAGACGACGCCATTGTTGCTGCAGAATGGTGCCAAGATCTTGCAAATTCTGTGGTTGGTTCTGGCGC